AACACAGTGCTCTTATTTGCAGAGTGTTCCATTTTTCTGAAGCACTTTGTGTTTTTAAGCCTTTCTATGTATGCCATAGCGTTCTGGAGCCACCTGGTCAGAGACTGGGAGCTGTTTGCTAGAATTTCAGCTGGCCAGGTATTATAATTATAATTATATTATACTATTATTATTATTATTATTTCAGCTGGATCTCCTTTTCTCTGACTACAAAAAGAAAGTGCTGGTCTTACCATTCCAGATCCCCAATTCCATAATTCTGTTATTTCATGTGATAATTTGTCACCAAGGGTAGCCCTGGTAAAACTCTCAGGCATCTGGACTCCACCTTTCCTATGCAAGTCACCATCTATTAAAATGAATTTGGCAAATACAGTATTTTTACTTTTTCTTAACCTAATAATTACTTCTCAGAATGTGGACATGTAATAATAACTCCAATAAATTAGTCATCCCTCAGTAACTGTGGGGAATGGGTTCTAGGACTCCTCTTGAACATAAAACTCCATGGGTACTCAAGACCCTTATATAAAATGGCAAATTATTTGCATATAACTTCTTATCTGACTGTATATTTTAAATTAGATCTAGATTACTTATAAAACCTAACACAATGTATTACTATGTCAATAGTTGTTATGCTGGGGTATTAGTGAGAATGACAAGAAAAAAGTCGGTACCTATGTAGGGTTTTTTCCAAAAATATTTTTTGATCTGTGGTTGTCTGAATCTGCCGTGTGGAACCACAGATAGAGAACTGACCATACATAGCATTTAATATGCAACTATAGAAGTGTCTTGGACAGACACCAAAAAGAGATGAAAATTCAACAGCATGGCCTCAGACCCAGGAATTCTCCTAGTTTCATGAATTTAGGGTGAAACCTTAAGTCCTCAAGCTAATGTTCCAGTAGCAAAAATAAGTTCAGCAGTGGGATTGGTTTGCTCTTGTGACTACTGTCCAGGAATGTGGTCAAGGTCACGCCAAGCTGCTCTAAAGAACTTAAAAGTTCTTGCCACAGAGTTAGGATTGCAGCCAGCTGGCATAGAGAATGTTACCCCTTACAAAGTAACAAAAGCTTAATTTGCAGCTGACCAACTCAGTGGCTTGCTGGGAAGTCCTGGGATGCCTAAAGAGGGTCACATTCTGGCCTACTTGGTCAATACCCTGGGAAAGGCTGCTTTGGGCCACAGGCAACTTTTTCCTTTTCTATGAGACGTCATTCTGTAGGTGCCATGGGGCATGGAAGTGGTTGAGAAGCACTAGTAGGAATTTATTCTCTCTTTTTGCTTGTTCTTACTGGGAATAAGAATTCAACCAAAATGTCCATTTCAATCAAGGTCAGGATTCCTCATGAGACAAAAAAAGAGAAAGTCATTTATAAAACAAAATAGCCACTCAAAATAATTCAGAGTCATGCCTATTCCAATATTGAAGAATTTCTTCAAGAAAATGGAATCATATTTCATTTGGGTCTCTCCTCTTCTCCCTCACCGTGTGTGTGTGTGTGTGTGTACTACATAAAGTAAACTGTATGTATTTCTTGTATCTGAAAACATTTTTGAGACTGGAAGTGACAGCATTTATTGCTACCACCATCCATTACTACCAGGTCTAGAAATGGTGCCGGGGATTTTCCACCCAGTTGGGTCTCCTTTGTCCCAGACAATGCAGGGAGTCAGGTCCTTAGGCTTGGAGTTCTAGACATGTCATCTTACCAGCATCCCAGAGATACTAAGAAAACTCATGCAAGATTAAATTCTAACTCCGTATGCAATTGTAATATCCTGAAATCAAAGCATCTGGGAACCTGGATTCTCCCAGGGCCTACTCTCCCTACAGAGAACCCAGGAGAGAAGGTATTCCATAAGAGAAGTCTATTGAGTGAGTTCAGAAGTTCGCTGAGTAAGCCAGAGACAGGTAGAGACTTAGAAAGCGACCCTGAGCTGGCAACTGGATTGTTAGACACTGGGAAAAGGGTTTTATGAATATTATTTAATTTTGTCCTGACATTCTGTTATTACCCCCTGCATTACACCTGAGGAAATCAACACCAAGACCAAGTTAATTAAATAGTCCAGGGTCATGTGACAGGCACATGGTTAAAAGGTAGAGAAAACAGTATATTCAATATATTTCTAGTTCTGTCCAGTGACAGACCATATCTAGTGTTTAAAAACAAGCTTTATTGGTATATAATTTTATATGATAAAATTCACACATCTGTTTTTTTCTGTGTCTGTGTGCTAGGGATGAAATCCAGCATGCTTAGCAAGTATTATACCACTGACCTATGCCCACAGCCCCAAATTTACCCATTTTAAGTGTCCGAGTTTTAAGAAATGTATATAGTTATGTGGATTAATCACTTTTATGTCACTGTGACCAAATATCTGATGGAAACAAGGGAGGAAAGATTTATTTTGGCTCATGGTTTCAGAGAGTTTAGTTCATGGTTGTTTGACCCCATGGACTTGGGGGAACATCATGGTGGTGTGTGGCAGTTGGACATGCTTTAAGTCATAGGAAAGAGAGAAAGATAGAAAGAGAGAGAGAAAAGGGACCAGTAATAACCTTAAAAGTCATACCCCCAGTGACCCACTTCCTCCAGCCAGATCCTACCTCCAAGAGTTTCAAACATCTTCCTAAACAGTGACACTAGCTAGGGACCAAGGACTCAACACACAAGCCTATAGGGCACATTTGATATTCAAACCATAATAGTCATCTACCATGATCACAGTCATGATACAGAACAAACTACTCTATTCCCCTGGCTCCTAGGAATCTTATTGGTTGTTTTTGGTCACTGTATTTGTCCCTTTTCTAGAATGTCATCTGAATGGAATCATACAGTGTGTTGTTTTTAGTGTCTGGCTTCTTGCAGCACAAGGCTTTTGGATCCATTCATGTCACATATCTCAGTATGGTTCTTGTTTTCCTTTGTAATCTCCATTTATGTGTCTTCTTTAGCGAAGCATCTATTCAAGTCTCAACCCACTTAAGTTGAGTTGTCTACTATTGAGTTGGAAGAGTTCTTTATATATTCAGGATACAAGTCCTTTATCAGATGCATGATCTGCAAGTATTTTCTCCCAGTGTATACCTTTCAGAGAAAGTTTGTGATTACCTCTTCCTAGTGAGACAGGGGAATGACTGGCCCCATGTAAATTTTCATTATAATTTCTTGGACTGGGAGTGGTTGTTCCTAGGCTTTATCTTTATTATAGATCCAGAACCTGTACAAGTAAGTGGTCTGAGGTTTTGAGTTCTCAGGGGAAATTCGCTTTCTCTCCTCCAGAATCCAGGCCCAGACCACAGCTCTCTGTACCTGTGGAGAGACTCTTTTTTTAGTCTGCCCCTTCACTGTGGACACAGTCTTTTGCTCTCTGCATTATGTAGGTTTCTCACTTCTAACCTCCCATGCACAACAGTCCTCATCTTCATCCCTGCATAGAGCCAGATCGAAGTGGCCCGTAACTCCCAGGACGACTCAGCATCAGTGCCAAACAATTTTTCTGATCTCTATTTCCAGACCCAATGTTTTCCATATCTGTTTTTCCCACAGCTCAATCTTGCATTTAAAAATATTTCAGTCAACATTTACAGGTGTCATAAGTTATCTTAGGCCTCCGTCTTGCTCTAATTAAATATTCTGTAGTTTGTCATTGTATACAGCTGGTGTTTGTCCCATCTTCCCCTGTTCAGTCTTGAGAAGTCTTGGGTTTGCTCCTCCCTGGTCATCTTGGTTTCAATAAAAGCCCTGGTAGCTAGAATAAAAAGATTTCACTTTCTTTTCCATCGCCTTGCAGTTAAGACCAACTATCTTGTCTTTTCAATCATGGAGTAATGCAGAAAAGATTTTTGACCATATTCAAATGAAAGTTTTCTTTTCTTAGTAGTGCATTTCCTCTGGTCACATAAAACCTTAGAGAACTGGCAAATTATGTTGCAACAAACACTAAGGCAATATTTCTTCAACAAAACATTGTGCCCAAGATAGTTTAAGAGTCTCTACTGATAACAAAATAAACAACCATTTTAGTGTCTATTAAGTCATTTTGGCTACCTCTGAAATATATCTGAAGCCTGTCTACTTTTCTCCTTCCGCATTGCAAAGGCCTAGTCCAGCCTACCACCATCTTTCACCTAGATTGTGCAATAGCATTCCACCTGGTCTCTCTGGAGTCCTATATGCACACAGTATGTATGTTGCTCTCACTTTTAAAATTCCAAAGGCTCACTGCTTCAGTTAGAATAAAATCTCAGCTCATTCCCAGACTTCTAAGATCCTACAAGATTTTTACCTGATGGTTCTCCTTTCTTCCCCAGCTACTTTGGACTTCTTGCTTGGCATTTTGTCTATTCCCTCTGGTTTTGAATGTGCCTATGGCTGGACCCTTCTTGTTTTTAGTCCTAGTTCAAAGTCACTCCCTCACTGAGGCCTTCCCTGTACATCCTTCCCACCCTTCAAAAGGAGGACATCACCTGTACTCTTTACTTTCTATCATGTTGTCCTATTTTGTTTTCTTAATTTCATTTATCACTATCTGAAATGAGCTTGTTGGCTTACTTGTGTACTGATTTATTTTGCTTCTTCTCACTGGAATGTAATTGCCATGGTAACTGACTTTGTCTTACCACTGTATCTCCATTGCCAAGAACAGTGTCTGGCCTGTAGAAGCCCCTCAACACATAGTTATTGAATGCATGTGTGCAAGAATGCCAGGAAGTGTTCTCATTGCATTGTGTAGATCACCCATAATTTTTACAATAATGTGCTAAAGTATTAGTCCCATTTTATGGATAAGAAGACTGATTAGAACTAGAATCAAGCCTATTTGCTCCAAAGACTACTCTTCTACATTATGTCCCCCCCACCCCCTGCCCAGGCAGCAATTTGTTCAGGTAACATTAAATGTGATGAAAAAATTCTATGTTGGTGAATACTTTGAACACTTTATTTTCCTTGTTGTATAAAATGAAATTTGTTGGGGATACATAAATTAATGAAGCTGAGACAATACAATGTGTTCAGAGTCAGATGACCTGGCTTAGATAAAACCCATACTTTACACAGAGCCTCAGTTTCCTCCTCTATAAAATTGGGATGGACATATCTGCTGGCTAATGTCCTAAAGACCATAAAATACTTAGGATGTGCATTTGTCTGGCAAATGCTTAATGAGATGCATAGTTAATAACACTGATTGTAATAATGCTGCCAGGAAGCAGAGTTTTATCTCTGCAAACCTGTGAACTCTTGGGTTAGACTGGATGACATCAAAACCCTTTGCAACTTCCTTTAAAATTGCATCATCCTCATCAGTGCTTTTCAAACTCTTTGTGGAGTGGACCATGTATTGATACTTTTGTATAATGTAATACAAATTAGATGACTAGGGACATACAATTTTAAAAAGGCATACAAAGTAAAAGCCAAGCCCACAATTGTTTTCATTAGATTCAAATTAGTCCTTGAAATTGTCATAGAAGTTGGTAAATGTATGTAATTATAGCTTGTTACATAACAAATTACCCCAAAAGTCAACACAACAATTATCTATCTTACATCAGTTCTGTGGGTTAGGAATTCAGGGGCAGCTCAAGTAATTAACTAGTTCTGGGAGTTTCTTGGGAGTTTTCAAGATCCAAGCTGAGGCTGCAGTCATCTGAAGGTCTGACTGGGGATGGAAGGTCCACTTCTATCGCTCATTGACACCAGTGGCAGATGAGTGTGGCTGTTGGCTGGGCACTTCCCCACACCGACCTCCCCACAGAGCTGTTTCAATGTCTTCATGTCATGACAACTGGTTTTCCCTACAACAAGTGATTCAAGAGACAGCAAGGCAGAAGTGACCTCTTCTCAGAAGTCACATGGGTCAGACAGGTTAGCTGTATTTGATGTGTGCAGAGACTTCACAGGGACCTGAAGCCAGGAACAAGGAACATCAAAGGGACATCTTATGGACCGGCCACGACAAATCCTTACTCCTAACTAATTTTCATACTTATCTGTCAGTAAACCAAATTCTGCATACCAGATTCCTAGAGAAAAGCTACATTCCTCATTTTGTAAATGAAGAAGCCGAGGTCTGGTGAAAGGCACATCCCTAATTGCCAAATCCAGATTCTTGATTTCAGTGTTCTTTCTTATCCTACTGCCTTCACATCTATTTTAGCTACGATGGAACAAAAGGGGAGCACTTGCCCCAAGCTGCTCATTAAGTAATAAATGGGTTGGGAGGGACAATTGAGACACAGAGACACTGCTGCTGTGGATTCTCTTAGGATCACCACAAAGCCATCTTCAAGGTAGCTATCAAATAGAGTAATTCAGTGAGCCAAGTTCAAAAGCATCACAATGTGACAATGGAAATTGACTTGATTTAGCTTCAAAGATTCTATTAACTTGGAGAAATGAAGATTTTCTGGGGAATTAATACATGGCCAGTGGTAGAGAACAGAAGTGACTCCAGTGCTTTGAAACTTCTTTTAACTCAGTTCTTAGATGTTCACGCAAAACGTGATAGCTTAGATTCTCGCCCCTATAACACATCTGGCATTTCAGGGTCAGAAGATTAAATCTTGATTCTAATTTCAAAGGAAATGTGAAATTTCAGTAAGTTCATTTTGTAAGGTTGAGAAATAACCTGCTTCAGAAACTGGCACTGAACGAATCCTCTTAAATTCAGTGGGGGGAGGGGCACGTGCTTGAGTTAGACTATTCATAAGGTCAACAGTACATTAAAATTATGACAAATGAACACTGGAATATCACTGAATTCTAGACCACATTTTTCTTCTCTTTATCTTCCTTGTTCCTCTCCTAATTGAACCAGAGGCCCAAACAAGAAAAAGCCAAGATTCCTAAATTTAAAACAAAATAAAACTCTTTGTTTGGAAATAGTTCCAAACATACAGAAAAGTTGCTAGAATAAAAATAGTACACTTGTATATACTTTACCTAAATTTGCCTTTTGTTAACATTCTTACCCCATTTGGTTTACCATTTCTCTCTCTTCTCTCAACATACACACACTCACACACACACAAACATACACACACAATTTTTCTCAACTACTTGAGAATAAATTACATCATTGTGTCCCTTTACTTCTAAATATTTCATTGTATATTTTCTTTTTGTTTTGGTGGGACTGGAGTTTGAATCAGAGCTTTGCACCTGCAAAGCAGGTGCTCTACCACTTGAGCCATACTTCCAGTTCATTTTGATCTGGTTATTTTTGAGATGGGGTCTTGTGTGCTGTTTGCCTGGGCTGGCCTTGAGCCTTGATTCTCCTGATCGCTTGTAGCTAGAATTATAGGTGTGAGCCACCAGTGACCAGCTATTTTCTTATTTCTTATATACCTGTGGTATAGCTATTGATTCCAGTAAATTTAACATTCCTGTAATACTTTTAACTAATCTATCCACTTCAATTCCAACTTTCTCAGTGAGCCTAATGAGATCTTTTGTAGCATCTTTTACTTGAGAGTACTGGACACAGAATAGGACCAGGTGTTAGATTTGGTTGTCATGTCTCCTGAGCCTTCTTTAATCTGGAAGCTTCCATAGACGTTCTTTTTTTTTCATGACGTTAATATTTTTCAAAGAATAGAATCCACTCCTTTAAAAAATAGAATGTTTTCTATTTGGGGGCTTGTCTCATAATTAGGTCAATTATGCATCCTCAGTTGGACATAAAAAGATCAAAATGTCCTTTTCAGGGTACCACCATGGAGGTCCACAATATCCATCTGCCCCTTAGAGATCATCTGGTTGAAGTGCTATCCAGTTTCTCCATGTGAAATTACCATTTTTAACCCTTGCAGTTAATAAGCAATGCATGGGAAGGTAATTTAAGACCATCCAAATATTCATGCCTGCTCTGTTTCTTCATTGAAATTTAGTGTCTATTATTGACTCTCAATACTGTCTTTACTGTGATTGTTGCAAAACAATGGTTTTCCAACTCCCATGTCTTGTCATCAATAGGCATTTAAGATTCTGCTGTAAGCAAAAGCCCTCCTCTCTCCTCTATTCATTTATTATCAATAGGGATTCATGAATTCTCTCCCCACCCCAATGTTTTACAACTCACTCCTGTCCTTAATAATTTTTATAGTCAAATTGTCCTAGAGCCAAGCAGTGACAGCTTCTTGAAGCTGGCTTCTTTGTCCCTGTGATTTGCCTCCATCTTTTACATCTTTTTTCATTTTAAGCCCTTCCTTACTTTCTGATAAAAGTTGTCCTGTTGCCTTTTATCCCACCATACAGATTCCTGGCTCAGCTCTCTGTTTTGGTTTTGATTTGCCATATTCCACAAGTCACAAACATGTGGAAATGTACATCGTCTGTGTGTGCTGACTCCCCAGCCCTCCCTCTTCCCTGTTTATCCCATAAGAACTCCGTCCTTCTTTTCCATGTGTGACAGTGGCCCATATGCCATCAGTAATGGTGAGAACTAGGCACTTTACAAATATGGACTCCTTGGATCCACATCACAGCTCTCTGAGACACTTTCTACTGAGTGTCAGCTCCTGAGGAAATTGAAGCCTGGACAGGTTAAGTAATTTGCCTGAGGTCCAATGGCTAAGAAGTGACAGAAGTAGGCTTAATCATAGCTCTTAACCCTGCACTCTGCTAGCTTGAAATAAGGCCTTCTTTCCAAATGCAGTTTTAAATTTGAAAATAAAACAAAGGAAGTGTGTTAGGCTGTGGAAGCTTAGAGAAGAGTCAAAATTCATTTAAATAACATGCCAGGGCCTGCTGCGTCTCACGTATGAAACACACTCTCTCTCTGTCTCTGTCTCTCTCTTCTTCTCCCTCTCTCTCTCCCTCTCTCTGAGATAGGGGTCTCATTATGCTGCCCAGGCTAGCCTCAAACTCCTGGACTGAAGCAGTTCTCTTACCTCAGCCTTCTGAGTAGCTAGGACTACAGGAACATGCAACTGCACCCAGCTTAGCTTCTTATTGAAGTCAGGGAACAACCTACACAAACACAACAAGCAAAAGATTGCTGAGCCCCACCAAGAGATCCTGATTCTATAGGTTTGAAGTTCAGCCTAGAACTTCAAACTTTGAAGCCCACCAAGTAACAGCCCTTCCTACTGACTAAGAGACTCTCGTCAGCACTAACATCAGACAGCCATTGGGTGAGGGGCTTGAGCTGAGCATTCAAGGTCAAGTCAGAGGTCAGACATGTTTACTCAGGCCCAGATCTTGCGGCACAGTAGAAATAATCTGTGAAAAACCCGGGAATTAAAGATCTTCCAAAAAGTGACAAAATCTGAAAAATTTTTTTCAGTGCTGGGGATCAAACCCAGGGCTTCTTGCATGCTAGACAAACACCCTACCACTGAGCTACAATGGTAGCCAAGCCCCAAGATCAGAATTTAAGCCCCTCACCTGGTGGGTTGTAACCCTTCTCCAGCCAGTGCCTAAACCTCTACCCACAAACTCTGGCCCCACTTGCACACCTGCTCTGCCAGGTCAAGGTCTCTCAGTCTTTGTTCTTGCCCATACCAGCTCTTTGCAGATCGGGGCTATTTCAAATGTCACCTTCTCTGTACTCTAGACACTACTCTTATCTATGTTTTTCATAGTACTTTTCACAAGTCCTTATTATGCATTAATGCTGTATTGTTGTGCATTGCTTACATTTCTGGTTAGATTAGATTCAAATGTCCTCTAATTTGAGGAGAAAAGCATTGATTTTCCCAGTTTTACAGGTGAGAAGGCTGCTGTGCTATGAGGTGGGCCTGAGAGAGGCAGCAGGGTTAAGAACCAGGTTAAAGCCTACTGCTGCTGCTGCTGGGCTGTAGGACCTCAGCCAGTGGCTTAGCCCCTCTGGGCTTCAATTTACTTGGGGTATCAAGGATGTCAATAAATAGAAATTGCCACAGAGGGCTGTTAAGTGGATTCAGGAGTTAGTAGTTAGAAAGTACCTGGGGATGCCAGCACACGCTGGCACACAATAGGGCTGTGTAAAGGTTGATTTAATATAGTTTTGGGGTTGTAATTCAAATCCAAGACCCAATGCTAGGCTTCTAAGCACTACTCTCTTTTACCTTTATGGAAGTCTAAGTTTTCCTGAGAAGTACTGTTTCTATTAGAGAAGCAATGAAAGGAAGCTGAAGACACTGATGAGGTGAGAAGAAGCAAAATCCTCCAATGAGCTGCTAAATGAAGGTGTGGACAGGGAAGGAAGCAGGTGCTCGGCTCTCCCAACTCTGGGTTCAGGGCATATGGTGACACATTCAGGCAAGCACAACCAGGAGAGACTTTGGAAATTGGTGCCTCGAGAAATCTCTTTACATGTCCTCTGGTCAGTTGTGGGTTAAACATTTGGACCTTTGGAATAACATGCTACATACACTGTTTATGCATCCAGGATTCTGCAAGATGGTGGCATTGACAGATAGAAAGGGTCAACTATTGTTTCACTGAGGATGTAATGGTCTTGGCTGATTTCTTGAATCTTACATGTGTTGTACTATAATGGGGAGTAGCAGTTAAGGTAACATTTCCAAGGCAAGGATCATTTTAGTTTTACGTAATACCAGTTATAGCCAGACATGGTGTCATACATCTATAATCCCAGCACTGGGGAGATGGAGGCTGGAGACCAGCCTGGGCTACATAGTGAGACTGTCTCATACAAACAAAAACAAATAACAATGACAAAAACCATGCACACACATACACACAGAGAAGTTGTAATTTCATAGCTAAAATCTATGATTATTATTGCTGATATGGTTAAAAAGGATAGACTAAGTTGTGATTGACTTAGTAGTTAAGCACAAGACAATGTTATGAGTGATGAGAATTTACAAGTCTAGGTCCCACAGCCGGGAGGGAAGACAGTGTTCTATCTACATGTTGATGAGTTACTCAGTGATTAACCTTTGTGTCAAATATTGACTACTCACAGCATACAAAGTATCTTTCAGGCTGGGGGATGATTTAAAACAGCCATTTAAAAACTTAGCAGGAGTCAGATCCTTCTCAGGGCTTATGAAAACACAGATCTCTGAGCCCCAGCCCCAGAGTTTCTGGTTCAGTATGTGGGAGGATCCCTAAAAACCCAGAAGCATGGGTTTTGAGCGAGCTCCCAGGTGATGATCATGCTGCTGGTTCTGGGATCGTGATTTGAGAACCGTTGAGTTAGGGCAATAGCTCCTCTCTGGAGCGTCTTGCCACCTGAGCTGCAATGCAATAGAATTAGATTTGTTTTAAATAGGCCACCATAAGCAGTCAAATTTCCCAGCCACTTTTAGCATCTTACAGGCCAAGAGAGACACCGTGTCATTATTTCTCCTCTAAAAAAAAGACTTTAAGGGAATCTCACAGTTAATTAACTGTAGCCTTAGATGCATGTTTCTGATATCTCGATAATTAAACACATTTAGACTTGTTGGTGTTTGCCAATTGTTTTATGAAATAATTAAAAGTATAGTCTTCATGGAAGTTTGTCCCCTGGGACACTCTTGGGCTAGTCAGCTTAGAGGTGGTGACCAGCAGGTGGCACTCTGAGTTAGTTCATGGCTTGGATGGGGTGAAAACCAACACATAAGCCAAGGTGCCTGCTTTAAATCCTCAAAGTAAGGTCCTCTTAACCACTTGTCATAAAATACCCTGAGACACACGTCTTGGAAAATCGAAGTGTCAAGCTCAGCATCTTTGCCACATTTCAAACTAGGTAATTACCTTCTCTCCCAAAGGGAATCTGTTTTATGTATTTGTGTGCTTTCTAGGTTACAAGTTTCCCAAAGGCAATGATCTTGCTGCCTTCCACTCACTCCATACAATGGCAAAGTGAAATGCACAGCTTACAATAACAATTTAATTATTCTGCATCCCTCTGAGCTACGTGATGACCTGTTATATAATTGCCAGCAATATAGAAACCTACATAAATCTCATATAAACCCTTGCAATAAATGGAATTTTTTTTATTTACCTAGAAGTAAATTGCTTATTTACTTCACCTTGACCATAGAAAAAGCAAACTGTTTCCCCACAATTCCAAATTGTAAGTCATTATCAAATAAACAACACTGCATTTCATCTGGTCATTTTTATTAAGTCTTCAGAGTTTTTCGTTTTACTACACACAACAAATACTTTGATATAATCTAAGATAATAAAATAGTTGAACAACTTTGATTTTTTTTTGATTTACATTTTTGTATAGAAACAATCTGAACTCCTCACCTCAAAATGAAGGTGTCTAAAAACAGTGTCGCATCAGCATTGCCTTAAATATTTGTTTGGTGAAAAGATGTGCTTTCCATTCCCAACTGAAATGTGCCTCCATGCAGTCTGTCTGTCTTGGGTCCAAAGCTTAAGGCCTTGGGAAGGTGGCCATGAAAAGAAAGATGGCCACTCTCCTCTCTGTCCTTCCCTTTGTGGGGGACAGTGATTGGAACAGGGTTGTTACAAAAGCCAGGAAGCAAAGAAATCAATCGCCACCTCTAGTCTGTAAGTGTCAAAGTCAAATCAAGTCTTTACACAACAGCTCCATCTGTCAATGGGAAATTCCATCATGATGGCACAGTGCCTACTGGTCCCCAAATGTTCCTTTCTTCTACTAATCACGTCAGTTATTATGGATAAACTATGGACTTAAGTTCTCTCTAAAGGCAGGTCCTTCTGTCACACTGAAGTCGTGGCCCTCTCATTATGTTACTTGGAAGCTATGTTTTGGTGCATGGTAAGGGTCTGCCATCCCATAAGCAATGCCTCACCCACCCCCAAGTCCCCAAAGTGCCTAAGAGTGAAGGACCCCATGGAGACAGTGCCTTCAGTGAATACCTTCCCAAAGATGCCCGGGGACTCTGGCCTAGATCATCCCATTGATCTTAGTCCACTCGTAGATGTCCTGTTCACACACTATGTCAGAGTTGATGAGGAGGTATCTGTCACCTACACAGAAATGCTTCTGACAGGCAGCACATTTGAAACACTCCAGGTGATAAACTTTGTCTTTCACCCGCATCGTCATCTCATAGGCACGGATCCGCTTGTCACAGGAAGCACAGAGACCATCTTGGCCAAAAAGCCTGGGGCAAAAAGAAAGAAAAGCTAAGGTACCTGAACAGAAACAATACTGGAAGAAAGGGCCTGGCAGGGGCTCTATGGAGAGTAAACTTCCGGTGTGCCTGGAAGCTAGGAAAAGCTGAACCTAGATGATGATAGATGAGTCTTTCCTAGAAGGCAGAGGGCGGCCAGGTAACACCGTGTTGTGTTTGACTGTGCCTTCCTTTCCTGAGCGCTCTCCTGCCTTCAGCAACCTACCGCCCCCCAGGCCTCCAGGCTGTAGAAGAGACTCTCAGCTGAAGTGACTTGAAATAAGGGACTCTGCATGTCCCTCCCCTTCTAGGGGAGCTGTCACTGTACAAGAGGAGCTGGAATCAGGCCCTGATGACCATTGTGAGGGGATTAGTTCCAGAATGAAATAAAATGAATATCTTCCTGAGGCTCCCAAGTTTACCATGTTCCCAGCCACTAATCCCTTGAATTCTCCCCCAAACTGCAAGACCCACCTCCACATGACCATTTACTGGGGCCCCAGCTGCTGGGATAAAGGGAGTGCTGCGGGAGACATGTGGTGCAGTTAATCGTGCTCAGAGAGCCAGGGGACAAACAGCATCTCTCCACAATCAGCGGAAGGTCTTCATTTATGCTCCTCTATGTCCCCTTGGCACAATTCTCTGGGGAAACCTTCTTACATCTAAATTAAGTCTCTCCATAGCCTCAGTGGACTATCCACATTTCAGTGGATATTTCAATATTGGGTGGTGGGACACAACTTGGTAGAAGTCAGTGCAGTGGTCCTCAAAGTTGCTGGTTCCAGGACCGTAGCATCTGAATTGCCCAGGAACTTGTTAGAAACACAAATGTCTCCACCCTTCCCAGACGGGGGAAGGCCCAGCATCTATGGATAATGATTCTGATGCTGGCTAATGTTCAGAATGAGCCTGCGAGAGTGTACTAACACACGGTCAGAACCAGGAAGCGCAGCTTCAAAGTCCACACATCCTGGAGTACCTCTGTGAATTTGTTTGCCTTTGATATCTCTGAATGCAATGGCAGTCATCTTGTGTCATCTGCTTCACCCAGATGTTAGCAGCATCACACGGGGCTGTCAGACCACCAAAGGTCAAGGGCTGAGCCAATGCCGGTTATGTTCAAACCCATCTTGGGGCGTATTCCCAACCGCACCAGTCTTGAGGCAGGATCATTTTCACATGGGGCTGGTACCACGGCATGTTAGCAGGGGGTTTCCACATTAAAACCTTCAGGTGCATGTCAGGTAAAAGCTTGCTCTCAGGAATACCTTGTTAACTTCAGAAAACCAAAAAATCAACTGGTGTGTGTTCTGGTAGGTTATGGGGGAGGTGAGGACGGTTGCCAAATTTTGCAACATTTGGGCAGAACATAAGGCCAGAAGGAAAGGTGGTCTGGGCAGAAAGTGCATTGTTAGCACTAGCTCATGTCCCTCTGAAGCCCGCTTTCCACTGGAAGATCTCTGAGCAGTTTCAGAGCGCCACCTGGGAGCAAACTCATTAGTGGAGGAGAACGCTTGATTCCACAGTAGCAGATGGCAGAGCTGCAGGTAATGGGAGTATTGGAGGTCACAGAGTGGAAAGGGAGTTCTGGTGTCCTGACTGTTCAGTAAGTTAAATTTGAGGCTGAACAAAGATGCACACAGTGTTCACGGAATGAGACCAACTGCCTGGGTTGTGCAATCCTTAAGAAAGGAGGGAGCTTATTAAAGGAAAGTCAGGGGGTAAATTACAACCCATCAGGCAGCCAATGAAAGGAAGGATAAAGGACTAATATTTGGGAGACACATTCAGGTCCCAGCTCACGTCTAAGTAGCCAGGTAAGCAAATGATACCCCATCTGCAGGTTTCTGTGTCTCATGCTGTAAAGCAAAGGACTTGGAAGTGAAGACCTTTGCAGCCCCTTCCAACTCAGGAACTCAGGTTCTAGCAGTAAAAATAAACTAGGACTTGACACTTAACTTGAGCATTAACCTCTGGTACCCAGAATCAGTGTATTGGGCTGGATATCCCAAAAGCAGAGCCTGAGGTGAGGATTTATATGTGAGTGATTTTTTTTAAGGATGTTCTTAGGGGATAGTAGGGGGGAAACTGGCAGGAAAGGGAGGAAGCCACACCAAGCTGCAGTCCCAGACAGAATGCCTCAGAAAGAGCTTTGGCCTGATTCTCTTAGGACCTCTGGAGTAAAAGTCACATCTCCAAGTCACCCTGGCTCCAGGCAAGGTTCAACACTTTGGGACTCCTGCAGTGTGTGTCCCAGGCACCAGGGTCTAGTGAGAGCTGGAATATTTCTAGCTCTTGCAGGTACTGGTTTGATGCAGGTGTCGGGTGGGGGTTACCACACACAAAAATTGGTACAAACTAGATCCCAGGGGATCTAGGCTGAACCTGGACATTAGTAGCTGCTGTTCGGTTTCCGACAATACAGCTAATGTCGGTTGTGTGTAGGGGTGAGGGGTGTCTCATGATTGTTTGAGGTTAAATATCTGAAAATGACTGTACCAGGCAAGTCAGTCATTGGAAATCCTCACGGGGAGAAGTTATTCTAGGGGGAAGAAGACCTGGAGCCCATGAGAGGATCCACTCCAACTTGCCTTGTTACATATACCACCAGATATGCCAAGAATGGAAATAAGTTCATAGCTAAAGGACCGTCCCTAAAGCAGACAACAATTTTCCTCCTCTGTCAAGAGGTGTCACGTCTTAAGCGTTCTGCTGCCCATTTTAATAACAATAATATAAATATTAAAGGATTGCTGGGAAGCCTGCACTAACGCAGAGTTAATTAACATGTTGCCTGGGAATGTAGCAGGGAGAAGAATTATTTCATGTCACCAAGACACAAGTTAATTAACATCGGGTTCTCCCAGACTATTTTTTTTCACTCCTTTTTGAAAATGGAAAAGATTAACAAGCCCAGGCAGCACTGATTTTATTCTTGAATGTTACATAAAACCGTAGAGATAGGGAGAAACCCGGCTCTTTTGACCTTACTGTATCTGACTTCATTTAATAAGATTCAAATGATTCGGCAGGGATGTAGTCAGGGGCCCAGTGGGAATCATTTACCCGTCTGCTTTCTGACTGATTTGGCAGACTGGGAGTGAGTAAAACCAGGTCTATATTTATTCCAGTTCTATTTTCTTGTGACTTAAAAAAAAGAAACAAAGAAAGAAAATTCAACAAAAATTATGATCATTGAAAAACCTGACTTAATTTTTCAAAACATTACATTTGCAAAGACTTTTTCAGGAATTTTTTTTTTTTGGAGGGGGAGGTAGGAAGCTGTGGAATCACCTGCAGTTTTTTTTTTTTTACATGTGCCATGCTCTGAGGGCAGACTTAGGGGAGAAGAGCTGCCTTGGCAGCCAAGGGCATTGAAGGCTAAACAAGCTTTCCACAGGCTGGATGATCCTAACGTATTAGGGTTGTGTGTTCCCCAGGCTCTCTGCCACGGGAGGATGGTGAGGAACTGACAGCTACACAGCTGAGCAGATCTGACAGTAGGGGGCACAGAGTTACCTCCACAGCAGCTAATATGAAACTAGAGATGCTAGAACATCCCAGGCAAAGACACTCATTGAACGGCAGAACGTTCACATTGCCAAGAGGATGCCCCAGGGCAGGAGAGATGTCCTCAGCTCCAGTCTCACTTAGCATTACAGACTTCCTATTTTACCCATCCATTCTTCCGTCTCTTTGTCCATTACATTGGAAAATAACTCCTGATACTGTCATGAGGGTAAGTTATAAAAACAGTTAACATCTATTTGATACTCCCATACCAAGCCGAGTACTCTATGTGTGTTAATCCTCACTACTTCCGTGGAAGTAGCTCCTATTTTCATTCATATTTTACAGATGAGGAAATTGAGAGTTATGGAGGTTAAGTACCTTGGTCAAAGAGATGGAGCTATGAAGCAATCGGGGCTGGGAGTCAAACCTCCCCTGACTCCAGGCCCTTCACTCTTGTGTCTGTAGAGTACAACCTTCATATCATGACAGTCAATGCTTGCAGCTCCATGGCGAAAACCTGCTTTCGGCTTTAAAATTTCTCATCGCCTAATACTAATACTGGAGTCATACACATGAATACTTATAATCTACATGTATGTTTTGAACATTAAAATGAGCTCTTAATAACTCATCTCAAGCTTATAAATGAAAACACTCCCAGTTTCCATGATAGTCCCTGTGTACCCCTCCCTAGTCCTATCTCCTGGTCTCCCCCTAGGATTTCATCCCTTGGCTGAATTTTGTGTTTATCCCTCTCTTGCCCTTAAAACTTTAGTATTTTACCACCCAGGACTATGTCTCTGAAACCATGACCTTGGCAGAAGAAGAGCCCTCCACCTTGCCACTCTGTAGGGATAGCTGAGGCTCAGCCTCCACAGCGTGCCCTCCTTGAGCGGCACCTGGGGCTATATACCCACACTGAGCTGTGCCCCAGAAGGTGCAGGGAAGGTACCTGAGATAGTCTCTACGGCACAGCTTCCGGCCCAGCTTGTAGTAGAGGCGCCGCCCCACCTCGCCCAGTCGGCACCCACACAGGTCACAGCTGAGGCAGTCCTCGTGCCAGTACTGGTCGATTGCCTTTAGGAAGTAGCGGTCCCCGATGTTCTGCTGGCAGCCTCCGCATGTCAGCAGGGATGGAGGGATCTGCAGCACCTCATCCACTGGTTCTCTGGGGAGGAGGCCAAGCATTAGGCAACAGTGAGCACTGGGGCTCAGAATTGCTTTGGGTCAGGCAGGGAACCTCCCTCCATTGTCTTCTGACAATATAAGAAGGGACAGGATAGCACATCCCTAGGTCCAGGTTCCAGACAGACCCAGACAGCCTTGGGTTGAGACAGGAAAGAGCTAGACCTTACTGCTTCAATCCTAGAATCTCGCAGGGTACCAAGAGGCAACCAAGCCACCTGTAGGTGGCGCTGGACCCCGACCCACAGCCAGGCATCACTGAGGACAGAACTGCTTCTTCCTACCTACTTTCCTGGTCTTCTCAGTCCTTCCTAGACCCAAGGCACTGCCTAACCCTAGAGGAGGAACTTGGAACCGAAACTGGTTGCCCTCTATTTGGGCATCCAACATCCAGAGTGCTAACGACCTTCAAATTCCTTGTTGAATTCACATTTCCTCTCGCTTGCCCTTCTTAACACACAAAAGCAAAGATGAGAAAGAAAGAAGTAAGCAACCACAATTATGTTAGTTTGCTTTTCATCTTTCCAAAGTAAAAATTCCATCTCCAGATGGAATAGTAGGAATTCTCTTTATTTTATTTAACAGAAATTCTGCATCCCATCCCACTTTCTGAATGAATCCCTGGGAAAGAGAGCCCAGATATTAAGGCCACTGTCAAACTGATGAAGGACATCAATTAGACTTTCTTCACGTGAGAATTTTTACAACAGCAAAACTGATTTGAATAAAATTGATTTAGGAGAGAATATTGGGGAGGGGCAAAAACAATGATCCTAAAGAGAGTGGAAGGCAATCAAACAGAGGCAGAAATCTCCAACGGGCTATTTGTTCATTGTGAGCCTGAAGTAGGTGTTCTTTCACTACAAAGCTGTGCATAGCTGCTGGAGTGACTCAAGAGCACCTGGCTAGCAAGGCTCTGAGTTCAAACCCCACTGCCCCTCCTAAAAATACAAGCCGTGCATAGGGCCTCCTGCTCAGTTTTCCTCACTGGAACCTGAGCACTTTTGTTTTCCATTTTAAAATATGTAACTGCCCCCCAAAAAAGTAAAGGAATTCTAACACCTAGTAGGAGACAGGAAAAACTTAATACTTGTTGATTTGCAATAATTAGCAAGTGTTCTCTGCAACCTGATTCAAATATAAGCCTATTTTTAAAAATCTATTATTATTATTATTATTATTTTAAATGGACCTTCTTCCAAGTGCGAAATTCCCAAAGGGAATTTCCTCTTGGGTACCCTGGAGCTATAAATCTGTGTCTCCTATTTCTAGCTGGCATTCTTACCAAGTGACCGTGTGTTCTAATTGGCCTGTGCCCACAAACCTTAGCAAGTCATACTTAGGGACGGTGAGACTCAGAGAATCTGTGTTTACAGTGCACTCCGGCAACTTCAGTGACTCTACCTGGGAAAGTATGAAGTGTTTCTATGAATTTTTAGGAATGCTAAAACCAAACAGTTATACTCTGCAGTTAGCAGACAAAGTATAAGAGTATCTTCTTTTAGAACAAGGAAACATGTAGTTCAAGCCAGTTTCTTTGGGGAAAAAATTTAAAAATTTTTTTCTTTGTAGTACTGGGGATCAAACCTAGGGCCTTGTGCATGCTAGGCAAGCACTCTTATCACATATCCCCAGCAACTTTTAGCTCTTATGTTGAGATAGGGTCTCACTAAATTGCCTGGGCTGACCTGGAACTTTTTATCCTCCAGAGTAAGCCTCTGGTGTAGCTGGGATTAAAGGTGAGCACCATCTCACCCAGGCTAAGACTATAAATAGTTTTAAGAATTCACTTGCCTTTTTTCCTTTTTTTACAGAATGTACAGAAGGACTTCCATCCTCCCTTCTGAAAAATTACTAATACCCTTGGCCTTTTCAAGTACATCAATTTAGAATTGCATCTCTTCTCTTTTCACAGCCCATGGTCTGGTCTTACTTTGGGCTTGCAAAACCACTCATGGAACCTCAACCACAACGGATGCCCTGACGCTGATGCTGCCAGCCAACTGTGAAAGAGGAGAATTTACACTTAGCTGGTGCAAAACTGCCTGGAATGAAAATGAACCACTCTTGTTACTCATATGGAAGCAGTAAGCACCACCAATGCATGGTTGGTTCTCTGTAGGTGAATTCTGGCTTTCTGTGTATATGCTTCATTTGCACATGCCTAGGCAGGTCTCTATCCGTATTTGAAGATGGTAGTGACCCCAGTTGGTTTTGAGTGTGCACATCCTGAAGTGTGTGGCAGGCGAGTAAGTCACAGTAGAAATATAAAGCTAAAAGAGATATAGTGATGGCCCGAGAGGCGACAGAGAAGAACAGGATAAGATACTGGCTCCATTTATCTTTCTATAATTAATGATAATGTCACATTATCTTTGGTGGACAAGCCAAGTCAATGACTGAGTGGGGCTCACCCTCAAATCAATATTTGATACTCTCCTGGAGCCTATTCTAAATATTACAGCTGACTATCACTTCAGCCTGTGTTTCTGGGATAATTTCTTGACAATTTCCAAGAAGGTGAAAGGGAGTTGCAGCAATTTCTCAACTGATTTGTCCATCTTCAACTAGAACCTGCCCTCCTTGGGAAAAGTGGAATGTGAGCGCCTCTCACTATAGTAGGAGGCTGCTGTGTTACAAAGTTATTTCAGGGTGTTTCCATTTCCTAGACTCTAGGAAAACAGCCCAAACTTTGGAAAGAGCAATCTTCCTTTAAGAACAAAACACTCCAGATTTCTTCTAATAAAAGGACTAAGTTCTGCTGATGGAGAAGGTGTAAGCACCAATTCATCTAGCTTTCTCCCTTACCGATTACTATGGTCTTACCCAGTTTCTGAAAACTCAGGGCCCAGTTGTAATTTTAGGTTTATTTTTAAAAGTGAACAAACCACACTTTAAATCCATTGTTTGCATGGCCATCTACCTTTTTTTTTTTTTTAAGGAATACGTTTTTCTCCAAAGAATTCAAAGACCAGTCTTTGTTACAACAGAACTAGCTCTTTACAGAGCTGGTGTCTTAACCTTCAAGGCTGGAGAGTGATGTTTATATTCTCATTGGATCATGGTTCTTCCTGTGTTTTATGAGAACACGCTGAGTTTTTATGCTGGTTACTGAGGGTAAAAACCAGGTAAATAAACACCACAGATGACTGAAATTGGAAGGAGGCGGGGTGGGGAAACTTCCAGCAGGAAAGCACAATTCTTTTAAGGCAGGAAAAGAAAAAACAAAACAAATGCCTCTTAAAAGCACAAATGGACAAGTCATTAACCAGCTCCTTTGGTCTTGTGTAACAAATCCCTTCAAAGGATTAGATGGGGACTTCAAAGGAATAAAAATTCAAAACCAGAGAGCTAATGACTCTTGAAAGGGCATTTGCGCAGACGGGAAAATGATACCTAAGACACCCCTTGCTCCCCACGTTAACACCAGAGAATGGGCTGGAGTGTAGGGTGGGAATAGGGGTGTTCAGTCCAAGCCAGGCTCAGCAAACAGATGCAGCACCTGCTCATTAGAGCTCTGGTTCCCTGACCCCAAAGCCTTTGGAGAGTGTGATAAAAACTAAGACCCTCCGCTCCCCAGAAAAATACACTTAATACACAAAATGTTGTGCTAACTTCTCCAGGTTCACAGGTCCCCATCAGGGGTTGACATATATTCAAATTAATTCCGGGTTAACTGCTCTAGAAGTCTCTGGATACAAGCGCGAGCTCGGAGGTGACCAAGCGGACCCCCTCACCGGCCCAACACCCGCGCTGCTGGCAGCCACTCCACTTGGGACCGGGAAAGAGGGTCGTCGGGGGGCTCCGGAGGCCTCCTCTTGGAATGTGCCCCCCCTTCCAGGACCAAATGGACAAAGAGAAAAAGAGGTCCAGAAGGAGTGGGAGAAGGAGCAGAACCGAACCTTGAACACTCCCGGGATTGCACCTGCGCGCCTCCGAGCTCCCCGCGCCTGCTCCGGTGCAAACTTTCTGGCCCGCGGTGGGTTTGGGGAGCGTCCCAGGTAACCCAGAGGGGCCCGCACAGGCGCCGGGCCAACGCCGGTTTGTGCCATCCGCCGCCCGGTCCCTGTCAGTGCCATCAGAGTCACCCACGGGGAAGGGAGAGCCCTGCCCCAGGCAAAGGGGCCAAGGGCATGCTGCGGGCGCGCACCTGGAGCCCCTCGCCGGCCGCCCGCGCCACCCTGCCGCTCCGGGCGCTAGGCTGTGGACATCGTGAGGGATGCAGGGGCGCCGCACTTACTCAGACGGGTCCAGGCTCTTCCTCTCGATGGCCGAGGACATTGGGGAGGGAGGCGGCGTGCCGGGCGGCGGGGGCGCTCCCTTTGTGGCGCGGGGCTGACCGGCTGCGGGGACTCGGACCCCCTCGGGTGCTCGGGCGCCGCCGCCGCCGCTCCTGCGCCTCCTCTTGCTCCGGCGCTCCGGCGGTGAGCTCGCCCCTCCGCGCTCAAGGACAGTCACCGCGCTCCCTTCAAACGCCAAAGAGAGAGAGCGAATCACCGGGCTGCGGGCGCGCCGCGGCCGAGGCGGGGGCCGGGGCGCGCAGCCTGGCCCCGGGCGGCTGCTGCAGCTGCCGCTGCCGCTGCTCAGGACTTAACCTTCCATCCCGGTCCCGCCGCGCCAACGCCGCCGCCGCAGCCGCCGCCGCCGCCCGGTCCCACTCGCGCGCTGTCGCCGGCACCGCGCCGCCCGCGGGGATGGTGCGCGCCCGCCCCGCCGCCCCGCGCCCCTCGCACCTTCGCCTGGGTCGCGGCGCGCGGCTCGCCGCCGAGGGCAGAGAGGGGGCGGCGGCCTGGGGGCGGGGAAGGGACCGTGCGTCTCTCCCCGGGCTTCCTCCTCTCTCGGGAAGGTCTATTTTTCGCTCAGCTTCCCTCTGTCTCTGGTTTCATTTCCTTTTTCCTGATCACGATTCAAATACAATAGAAGGAAATCACATTTAAAGAGACAGCTGCCCGGTCCCCCTCCCCTTTTTTCTTCCTTTTTTTTTTTTTTTTTTTTTTAACGGGGCTCCTGAGGATTAGCAATACAAACAGCAGCAGCAGCAGGACTGACTTGGCTTCTTAAAGGGGCCACCGTCAGAGACTGACAGTCGCTCAGTGAACACCTCTCCCTGGAGAGGAGGCCGTGCTGCCACTAAATCATTCTTCAGAGGTCCCCCTCTTCCGCGTTTCCCTTTTGGGTTTAACTAAAGCTGAAAGTAACCACCCGGCTCAAGCAAGAAAGACAGGACAAGAACGTAAAAATAAGCACCTACAGAAATACAAGCTTTTCAAGTGGCTCTCGCGCGTATCCCGGGTTCGAGGTCTCAGATCCACGATCGCTGTGCGCGGGGGATGTCCCGGACAGCGCGGCTCTGCTGGCTGCGGGCTTGTAGCTGCGTCCACTCTCCAAAAAGGCCACTAGGCGCTGTGCGAGCAGAGAACTCACGGGCTGGGTATGCCTGAGCAGTACTGGGGGCTGCTAATCCCGCAGGGAGGGTGGCGGGGAGGGACCACGCTAGTCCTGGTCTCCTCTCCATCTGCTGGCGGCAGTTCCCTCCCTAGGCATCTTTTAAAGAGTGGTCTTCTACTGCTAGTCTGGCCCTCTGCAAAGTGTCAGTAATATCCCGACCCGAGAAAGTGCTTTTTCAATGATCAAGAACGTTAATGGGAGAGTATTTTGCCCTGGGTCAAGCAAAGAGAAAAGAAGGCAGATCTGATGTGGGGGGTTAGCTTTCTCCTTCAAGCTTGAGGGCAAGTTCTAGGAAGAGAAAGAAATGTAGAAGGGGAAAAGAGGAGGCTCTCAGCCTGCCCTTTCAGGGAGAAAAACTTGGGTTCCCTGGGGCCTCACAGTTCCCTGATAATGTGTTCAGAAATTAGGATTCAGGCCTATTTGCTCATGATGCTAGTCCTCAATCTTGTAAAAAGGAAGCGCCCAAGTACCTTCAGAATCCATAGTTTTACAAGAACAGTCTGGATCACTGTCATAGGCATTTCATTCCCACTTTAAAGATGCCTGGATGAGCTCACCCTGAAAGGTGGTGGTTAAAGCCAGAAGTGAATCCCTGGGTGCCTCATTTTCCTTGTTCAGAGCCAAATCCTCATGGGCTTCCCTATGTATAAGTGCAATTTACTGTTGTCTGCAGATTCTCGTCATTTTCTCCTCTCTATGTCCTGCGACTTGGGTCCCTAGTGGGCATAATTAATATCTGTGGGGGGGGGGGGCCGCGGGGGTGTCTTTGTGTATGCCTATGTCAAAGGAAGCCATAAAGGGGGGGGATCAAATGAAATCTTCAGTAAATAAAAAGACATTTCTCTGATCAAATCCTTGTTTTTAACTTAAAAAAGAAAACCCCTGTAATTTTTAGGCAAGCCTAAATGATGTGATAAATATGTAATTTACCATTCTATAGGTTGTGGTTAACAACTTACCTACTTACAATCAGTCCCTGTAATAGTTAAATGCTGGGTCTGTGGAACCAGACTGCCTGGGTTTGATTAGGTTCTTAGGTATCATTAAGTGTGATTTTGAAAGTTACTTAATATAAGGAGGCAGAGTTGGGCAGTGACTCAGGAGTGTGGCTGCTTGTATTCTAAGCCCCCTTTTACCACCCCTGTGAACCTGGCTCCCAGCAGGAGTTTAAAGGCCTAGTATCCCCAACTATAAAAAATAGGAATGATAGAACTCACTGCATAGTTGCTGTAAGGATGAAATGGATTGATGGATGCAACGTGTGGCACATGGATTTGTGACAGAATGGAGACAATAACTGATATGCAATTGCTAGCAGGACACACCTGGCACATATCAAGTACTCATAAATGGCAGATGCTATGTGATACCAAAAGACATCACTGAGGAAGCTAAAAACAAGTTTGAAATTAAATTTAAAGAGGAAATGGGAGGTTAAAAAGGAGAGTTTCTCCAGGGTGGGAAGTGTGGCTCAAATGGTAGAGCACCTGTCTACCAAGCAAAAAGCCATGAGTTCAAACCCCAGTACTGCCAAAAAATAATAAGAATTTCCCACTCAAATTAAAGAACTGTTCCCTAGTCTTAAAAAGCAAACAGAGCAAGATCCCTTCATCTCACCTCTACTGATTTGAAACAAAACATATGTTTTTCTCTCATAACATTCCTTATCTTAGGGACTTGGTACTATTTGTACATGTTTGCTTTCCTTAAATCTCATGAGGTATCACTTTCCTTGCTCCAGTTTTTTCATGGGTTCAAGTCAGTGGCTAAGGGCTAGCAGAGGGGCTCAAGTGGTAGAGTGCCTGCCTAGCAAGTGTGAGGCCCTGAGTTCAAACACCAGTACCCCAAAATAAAATAAAATAAAAGCATTCTTCAAGTCAGTGGTTAAAAAGTATATATCCTTAGGTTCCAAGAAGTAACCCCAGAAGTGGTAACTGAGGGGCATAAAGTTTCCTTTTTATAATATGCCTCTGCTCTGACCTGAGTGTGTAAAGAAAAGACATGACTGCATATGACTTTGGGTCAGTTTCTTATCTTTCACAACTCTTTGGGGAGAACTTTCTTGGAGAAGGTGCATATTTGAAATGGTATCTGAAGATTTCAATTTCACACATAGTGGTTGTAAGAAATAACTGCCTTCCGGTGGGATTTCATATCTATTCAACAGGCAATTAAATCGCTCAAATTTAACATTTAGAATCAAGTCTCAAAATGTGGTTTTATTATGAATAATTTGAAAGCAATCATGACCTTATTGTATCCTCCCATAGCAACTGGTACTTGCCTTATGCAGAAGGGAGATTCAGTTGCTATGAGGCAAATTGAACATGTAAAACAGGTCCTGAGAGTTGAAAAAATTTGCTCTTGGGCTAGTAGCGTGGCTCAAGTGGTAGAGCCCTGCCTAGCAAACATGAGGCCCTGAGTTCAAACCCTAGTACCACAAAGAAAAAAATTTGCTTTTGATCCCTGCCCAGTGGAACTAAAATTTAGTTCCCTTCTCCCCTACTTGCAGATTTTAAATACCCTACAATTTAGACAATTCTAACTTTTCCTTCTTGAATAAGAATGTCAGGAGTTTGAATCAGTCTGTGTGATGAATGTGACCCCAGATGGATTTTTTTCCCCAGTGGACAGTTTCTATTTTTTGTGACTTACTACAATTATTTTCTAGGGAAGAACAGTTTCAAGTGCCTAAGACTACATTCCTTTCCCAAAGTAGACTTCTGATAGAAATGAAAATGCAAATGTCATTGGGAAAATGGCAATGGTGACAATTTACCTCTTTTTTTCCCCCAACCATTAGAAGCTAAGTTGAAACATATGCCTTGTTAGTTGTGACATTCACAAAAATAAAGATCACTTTAAATATGGCTTCAACTCACATGCAAATTTCTTTAAACTGTTCAGTTGTCATAGGCATCTGACTACCAAACTCATTTCAGGGCCAGCTGATAGACGTGTTTCATAGAATGTTGGTTCTATTAGTAACCTTAGTGATAAATAAATCAGCTTTCCTAAACAGTAAAAAGAGCTCCAAATAAATCTTCTTAAGGAAAAATCCATATCAACTGAGTTTAAGGAGAATGAAAATTGCAATCACACCGATGTTGTCCAATCGTTTATTAGCTGTGTATTTTGGGGGAAGTTACCTTACCTTTCTGCACCTCAGTTTCTATAACTGTCACATAGAGGCAGTGTAACAGTAAAGTTCAACGGGACTAGGACTAGGGTCTAACCACAGGGGCTGCTACTCACTGAACAGGAATTTTCAATAGAATTCAATAGGATAATATGTGAAAAAATGGTTTGCACATTGATGATGTACAGAAAATGCCAGGAAATGATAGCGGTTGGTATTACCCCATCTTTCAGAAGTAATCACCACCATATCAGGCAGCAACAATCTCCCAGCCAATCAGGGCATCCGCCAAAGAATGATGAGACTGAAATGAGTCCCAGACATCAGCAGACTTCAAGCTCAGGATTGCCGGCTTTCAGGCAGAAACATGGGACTGTGACCATTTGGGCCCTGGAGAGGCTGTTGACAACTTCACTGCTTCCCTGCTATCCTGCCTGCTTCAGCGACTTCCCTGATTTTACTCATCTGATTTAACCCCCTGCCACCCACCTTTTACAGCTAAGAAAAGAGGCAAAACCAAGTGCTGAAGGAATTTAGCAGAGTTAATCTGGTGGGTCTCAGTGGAGGGAGCAGTAAGAGTGTAAAAGGGCCTCCTTCCCTGTGGGCTTCACCCAACTACAGCAGCTCCGCCTTTATTGACCTTGCCCAATAAAGGTCAATAAACCTCTCTGCTGTGTCTAACCTCTCTGCACTTTAGCTTCCACATCTGTAAATTGGGACTTATACTTACCTCATAGTTTTTATAGGATTCTGCGAAATGAAACAGATAGGGTGCTTGGAGAGGGAACCAGAACATAGTAAGCTTCTATGGAAAAACGGAAGTCTACCTTCTATAGGAAGTCTTTTTTGTTTGTTTATGTGCTGTTGTTATTTTGAGACAGGGTCTCTCTGTGTAGCTAAGCCTGGCCTGGAACTCACAATGTAGCCCAGGCTGGCCTCTAACTCAGGCTCCTCCTGCCCTGGTTTCCCAAGTGCCAGCTGTGAAATTCCAGCTTCAGGATATTTGAATATCTGTTGCTAACTCCAATCCTTTGGTGGATAAGGCAACTAAGACACTTAATCAATTGCT